CCATGACCCAAGAATACTAGAGTTTTTAGCTACTCTTATTCATACAAAAATCAACAATAAAAGTTTTAAACATAATATAAACAAACAAATAGAAGAAAGTTTAGAAGAACTCTTTGAATCCTTGCTCCAAGATGTTGTTCTTCTTCTCCTTTCTTAGCTCCAAGATGAAGCTCCTCCTTCTTCTATGGCTTTTTCTCCCTTAAAATCTGATCTACATCTCAATAATGGAGCTTTACTTTATGTAAGTTGAGTGGATCCTCTCAGATTTCCCATTTTNNCTGTGAGATATTAAAGTCATGATTAGAGCCCATTTTTGCATTATTTGAACATTTACAATAGTAAACCATCCTTAAGTTGAGCTAAAACATAGGCTATATTAAACAATTTAGCCTATTATCACTTGATACTTTTTATGATAGAAGTGAAATGGTTTTCTTGACTTTGCAATTAGGAAGCTGGGCTTTTATGGCCATTAAGATAGTTTGACATATTAGTGCAGAGGCAATGGAGAAGCACCTAGTGCTGGAGCTGAAGAGTGGTAACGTAATTATCAGGACGGAGTCTGTAATGCACTTCCTATCCATATACAAAAACTGCAGTAGAATTCCGTTCAAGGCTTATCGCCGCGAGTCATGAGTGATGGAAATTCTGTGGATATAGTTGTACTCAAATCCCAGTGCAGAAGACTTTGTCAAGGTGTAGTGAGGCTATATGTTGTATTTAGAACTGAATATCTCGTGTATATCTTTTTTTCCTCTGGTTTAGCCGTTTTCTCCTATGAGTTAAATGCCTTAGTCTAGGTGCTGGTGTGGGCTGAAGACTTTTGTTTAGGTAGCCTTTGAAGATTTGACATTTGTCATACGGATTTTTCCCTACTTCGATCCGCCATCACATACTTTGTCGCATTTAACTTGTGTTGGAGGGATTGTCAAGTGAATCGACTCAGGTATGTTAAGGCAATCCCTTCTTTCTTTTTGGTATGATCTATACAACACGAACGAAACGATCAAATGCACAACTTCCATAAATGACTCTATTCATAAAACTACTAGAGATGCTTATGTTCTTGATTTCCCCACGTGTCATATTATTTTATCATCTGTTCATGAGTATCAAACATACGTAAGTTGGGTAAGTTTATTTCATGATATTATTCGAAGGCATAATGGTCTTATGACACTCCAAGAGATTTTATTGGCGTACTTCTCGTGCATTGCATTCATGTACATTAACCCTTGACCATATGGAATTATATACACGTATATGTAAGCACGTGATTTTTGACCCTCCCCAAGAATTTTCACATTTTTAGCGTGAATATGTGAAATTGGGTCTAGTATAGCTATTTTAACTATTTTTACTTTATTTCGTTGCAAAAAGAAAATTTCAAAATATATATATATAAATTTTAGTTTATGTATCTCTCATAAATTTGAAAAATACAAAAATATTACCTCATATTTTATCTTAATATTTAAAAACGAAAATTACAAAAAAATAGTTTTATTAAAATTTTGTAGCTATTTTAAATCTTGAAAAAATATTTTAAAAAAAATATATAGTTTTGTTTAAATACTAGTCTTATTTTTGGTAGTTATTTTGCTTACATAGGAATAATTAAGCAACGTGTTCCTATTTCTCGGGTCCGGGCAAAAGAATAATATTCGGGTTCAAACTACCCGGTTTTAGGCCTAATTTTCGACCTAGCCCATAATAAACCGTGTCCAGGACACGTGGGGAACCCCACCACGCGTGGGGGACATATGCCTTGAACCCCACAACGCGTGGGCTCATTTTTCTGGGCAAACCCATGCTAAATACACGGACAAAACATTTTGAAAGGGGGGATTTTTTTTGAATTTTGACAGGTACTGTAGACCTTCTTCTTCTTTATGAAGAAGAAGAAAACCTACTGTAAAAACGGGACTACCGGCCTCTCCGTCACGACGACCAAGCTTCCAAAGACCACCATTGCTCCTCCTCCTAACCCCCTCCACCATCATCAATAACCTCATAACCACCA